GTCCAAGCTATACAACCATTATGTGTATATGACAAATGTGACAAACTTGGTTTTGCCAGACGAAAAAACAAAACGATTAAGGTTATGTTTGGTAGACAAGACTATGTTTGCTAGACAAATAAGTTAGTTTATAGCTTATTTGGTTAGTTTATAAATTTTCTGTATTCAAATAAGTCTTGTTTGGTAAGACAAGTATTTTTAAAAAGCTTGAGCTTATTTGATGATAAGCTTATTTCGGTAACTTTTCAAATAAACTAGTTAATTTTTTATTCCAGCTAATTTATCAACTAATTTGACTAAATATTTTTATCATATAAGCTAACTTTTCAACTATAAGTACAAGTTATATGAGTTCATAGGTGAAAATGCAAAAAATTAAAAACTTCGTAAATAAAAAAAAATAAATAAATAATAATATCGGGTAATGTTGTTACGGAAGCCTTATCAAAACCAGGAACCGATCATTTGATCGATTACTTCGCTAGAACATAGTGGTTATCAACAAATCAGTCAAGAACTTGTCGTTTTAAATTGTGTATAAACAATATATTTTTTTCTCATTAACATACACAATTATAATAAAATTAGGTATTTATGTTTATCAATATATTTTGCATTTAATTAAAAGTAATAATATGAAATAAAAGTAATAATATGAAATAGAAAAACATTATATAGTAATTTAATTGTAAATATTAATACAATATAAAACTGTGGAATAATATTGTTAAAAATGTTATCATGTAAAAAAAATATTAAGATATAAATATAAGACTCAATATAAAAATTGGTCCCAAGTTGCAAATCTAGTCTCTTTTGATTAAACGGGGTCCAAAATTGCAAAATAAAAATAAAAATAAATAAATAAAAAAAGATAAATGACTACTGTTGCAGTTATTGGAACCACATTTCGAGCACGGCCAATCCTGTCGGACTAAATTAGCAATTTCTCCCGTCTTCAAATTAACGTCCGTGTGGTTTACACGTGAGTACCCTGTTAATTTTGACGCGGCCAGGAGCCTAGGACCAATTACGCAACAAAAATTCGAAAACGACTAGTTTTGCAACTCCTGAAATCAATTTGCAATAGACTCAACCTGATGGAACTTTAATTTCAACTATACGGGAGAACAGATAATCCATGCAAGTACTTCGATGTGATGAACTGAACACAAATACCTCAAACCGATAAAGCACCAAACTGAATGAACAACAATTACAACCGGATATGCTGCCAAATACTAACAGGTGATAATCTGCCCCGGGCCATGCATATTGTACAGAGCCATGAGAGATGATTGCAGAAGACTATACATATAAGCAGCAGTTAAACGACTATGATACAAAAAGATAATCGTAACTAATATGGCCCACAATTTCTGAAGGAACATCGGCTTGTGATCAATGCAGAGAAAAATCAACATTAGCCGTTTTTAACCTTCGCTTTGACTGCAAATAGGTGATCGTTAGCCTATTACAGCTAGCAAGCTTTGTCTAACGGGTGGAACAGAGCAGATGACAGAAGCAAAAATCCCAGTTAGTGCGTACGCGATTGCACAAAATGGAAGAGCCTCAGGTTCCTTTGCTGATAACGCAGCTGTTCCAAACCCATGTGCACTGAGAAAAGGATAGGGAAATCTTAAAGACAAACTCGGGAAGGACAGACTACTGTAAATCTTGAGTTTTTAGATGGGAATTTTATGTGCTGCTTGTCCTACAAACCAGATGAAAGAAAAAACAAAGGAAAAGTAGAAGAAGAATGTTCTAGGTACTTCTGCTTGTTTGTTATAGAAGAAGAAAAAACATGCAGAAATATTAAATTCTAATAGCTGGATGTTTGTTTTATCAAATAAACCACAAAACTAAACCAAATATTTGACCTAAATTTAAAAAAAAAAAAAAAAAAGAAATAGAAGGAGAGCATTTATCTGCCAATAAGCCTCAAGGTATTGTAAACATGACCTACAAACCTTCATCTGCTAATATGCCCTAAGTTGCCACACAAGAACCTCCTAAAAACACTCTTGGGTTCAATTTGTAATAGAGCAAAACTTGATGCCTTTGCAATTACCCTAATGGCATGGCATCTTAGTCAGCCATAATTGCTACGTCGTCTTAAGTTGCCGGACATGATGGAAATAACCTACTAGATAATATCTTCCAAATGAGTTTAGGTTGCAATCGAAGCAAAAGCTGGCGTCGTTGAAATGAACCCTTTTAGAAAAGAAAATTTAGAGAGCACAACTCAAGAAAAGCATACTCTATTCCCCTAAAGTTTGGTTTTGATGGCAAAAGCATAAAAAGGATTATAAGCGATTTTATTTGAAATTAACTCAGTTGGAAAAGACGGGATAATTTTGTATTTAGACCAATATTTGAAGCATATTTATTGTGCTGACGTTGATTTTTCTACATATTTTGTAATGGTTCTGCAATATTTTGGATCTTCATACCTTGATGCAGTTGCTATTCCACGAGCAATAGGATCACGAAACCCTAATCTGTCTAGAGTCACCTGAACAAAATTGGCCCCAACCAGTCCAGTAATCACAACAGCAGCTGCTGTAAGAGATGAATTGGCACCTAAAGGGAGGGAAAAAAAAGAGAGAGAAGGCATTACTGCAAACCAACTATCACTCTAGATGATTTCACTGGTGCTATATATGTCCACCTCAGTTTTATCTTATCACATAGGATGTGAAAAGCTATATATTGAATGAGTTATCAACCTTCAAACAAAGACACTATGCTGAGAGCAAGAGCCACAGTTACGCATCTGGGTAGAATTGATACAGTCAATGATGGTTCGAGACCAACAAGACGGCCGGCTAGAGCAGTTGAGTACAAAGAGAAAAATGTGGACAGGATCACAGCGGTGAATATCTCGGCAGCATGTCTCTTCACCAGCTGTAGATTCACAATTAAAAATCATGTAAAAAGTGATTAAGTACAGTATCTGTAACTCCATAAATTAAATAAATGGCACAGCCAAAGAGGAATAGGAAACCACATGCATACCTTTCTCTGTTGAAACATTGAAAAGGCAAACGAAAGTACAACCGATCCAAGAAAATCTACCAAAATGTCACCAGCTCCAGGATTCGACGAGTCCTTTGTGAGATAATATCCTGCAAATTGTTATGTTCAAGTTGGCCCTCATGTACATGAAATGGTAAAGGTCAGATTAAATACTAGTGAACAACTAACAGTGTAAATTGTTGAATGTTAAGACTTATGCAAAAATAGTGGCATCAATAGACAGAATAAATTGTAAAACAAGAATATCAACTTTTTTCTGCTATTCAAAATGACGAGTCTGTTACACTGGAGGTCGGGCTCCCTGAACTGAATTTTTCGTGACTGTTAACAATAGAAATTAAGATCAAGCCAGTAGATTATATAAATATCCTAGATTCCATTATGCGCGGCATTAGTCTGAAGTTTATACTAAAGGACCCACTAAAAAAAAAAGGAAGGTTCAATTTACCTAATGAACAATTCCTTCTGACCTCTCTTGATGATACACATATTTGCAAGGTAAACACAAACGTCGGCGATTTATCATTTTAAAAGATAAACGGTTCTCTATTGCAATTAGTCTAAATCTGAAGACTAGTTTCTGGATATAGCCCTAATTTCTTGATATACCTAGAACGGGATCAAGTCCGAAATGCGAAAGTTTCCCATAAGCCAACGCCGCCAGATCAGCTGATAATGCGCAGAAAATAATGGGATGAAAAACCATCTTCACGCCTGATGGTAGCCTGAAACCAAGATTACATAACATTATAACAAGAAACAAAAATGAGGATGATAGTTTGTATGCAAAACTAAATGGATAGAGGTGATGGACTGAGTAGATATTCTTGTTTTTACCAGGAACCAAACATGTAGCCTATTACTGTAGAAGCAAGGAGAAAGGGCAAACATGTCCTGGCATTGGTTCCAAGTACAGTCGGGTAAAGCAACGAAGAGACAAAAGATATTACGAATATACCACTCCAAACCCACAACTCGACTGAAGAAAACGAAGAAGGCTTTGGCATGGGTTCGGCTGGCATCATTTCAGTGTTTACAAGCTTTCTAACTGCTATGGCTGTGAAACCTGCTACACACAGTGAAGCCAGCCAGCCTCCAACTGCAAAAAAAGTTAGGAAGCAATAAAACCAGTATTTAGTCTTCATGAAACATCAAATTCCAACTCAACATAATATTTAGTTCAAGATAAAAAGCTTGAACTAGTGAAACAAGAGTGATTAGTGAATAAATCTTGGAAATGTTTGATCCATGGGTGAAAGTCAAATACGAAACCGACAAGAATCTAAAGCACCTCTATGTCTACTTTGTTATTGTCTTGATTAAACCACACAGAATCATAAGTACAGGTTGGCATATAAAATCAATTAAAAAAAAAAAACTAAACTTATTTTCCAGCTGAGGTGAAATCATTAATCACTTCAAGGTGTTTGCATACAAAAACTCCGTTTACATAAAAAAATTCATCAAGGATGACATATACACCTATAATGAAAAAGATCTTAAGACCCGAGGCAGCCGGAATCTCTTTGACAGACAGAGGCAGAACCACCAGATAGGGCACGTAGAACAAAGGCAGCCACCTCTGAATAAAAAGAAAGGCCGGCTGGAAGAAGTTCATCAAGCCAGTGGCGGCAGCTGGGACAGTGGAATCGAGAACCACCAAAACGGTGAAGATGCAAAACATCCCGAACAAAGCACTTGGGAATTTGATGGCAGCAGCCACGAACACCTTATTCAGAAACTTATCCATGGCCACAACAATTCCCAAAGAAACCACCAAATGCAACAGCTTAAGAACCTATTACAGAAAACGTTCATGCTATGTGCCCATCAAATTCGTTCATACAGTAAAAGAAAAGCACACATGTCACGAGCAACAACAAAAATCACTTTCTTACTGTGCTTCGAATGCTCGCCGAGGTTAAATTACTCTGAGATGCCGTGGAATTCACTGAAATCAACCTCTCAGCATGCATTTTCTGAGGACCGACCCGCAACAAACTGGATGTTGGCCCAAAAATGTGACTCGGGCCGAGAGTATTTCACGCACTTGTCGTAATAAGCGACTGGCGACACTTTAGGGAACAATCTTGTGGGCTATGGGGAGAGATTAAGATGAGGGATTGTTGAGTGGAGGCCATGGGAAGAAAAAAGTTTGTGAAATTGCGGAGTTCTTTGCCGCCATTTGAAGCCAGTATAGAGAAGGAGAGGGTGTGACCGGGGAAGGCTTGACATTTTTCCTGAGCTGTGCTTGTGAGTGAGGGTGTGAGGCGGAGCTGCGTGTGGAAATTTGAGTGGACATCATAAGATAAGTGATCGATCAAATGCAATTACCATTTTTATTTTTATTTTTCTTTTCGAGTTTTTCAACGACAACTTAAATAATTTTATAATGCGTCGAGCATAAATAGTGGTTGGCCACGTGAGACTCCTTAATGTTTAACTGATGATAGTCTGAGCGTAAATCGATAAACACACAAGCTCATCTCTGCTCTGCTGATCGAACAAATCATCTACCTCGAGAGCGGATATTTGTTTTTCACCGTTAACCGATTCAGATCCCGGTAATCGATGCATATTCTCATAGATCCGTCATTCTTTTTAAAGAAAAAAACGGGTGCTCCCCAAGGCGAAACACTCGGTGTTATCCTGTACGACGCTTTTCACACCGGTCCTGCTCCTGGCAAAAGGTTGATTGAGAACTCCACTTGTCGGTTGGGTGGTCCTCCTGGTAGTTGGTCCGGGAACACATCTATAAATTCACGAACAACTGGAATGTCATGAGGTGTTTGTGCTCTCGAATCCCTCTCCGACAATATTCACCAGATAACCCTCACAATCTCTTCTTCGTAAGATCTTCCTCGCCTTCGCCATAGAAATTTTGCGCGGTAGGATTAGCGTCTTCGTGCCATAGAAAGTGATTTGACTGTTCTACGGAAGATGAAGAGTTACCTCTCGATCATGACAATGAATATTTGCACGATAACGAGTTAACAAATCCATACCGAGTATGAGATCAAAATCCCTCATCTCGATAACATACGCATTGGCCTCCAAGATTCGACCGCTGATACTAAAACTAAGAGTCTCGGCCTTAGAGCTCGTCACTATCTTCCTTCCCGAGGCTAGACTCACCTCAATAGGGTCAATGGTGTTAACTGGTCGAACTCCAATGGCCTTTAGACATTGGGTTGATACAAAAGAAAGAATGCATCGCCTCGGTGTCGAACAGAGCAAAAATACGCATATCGTGCAAAATAATCATCCAAGACATAGTACATGGGTTCTTCTTCGCCTCGGCCTGATCCACAGCGTACACCTGAGCCTGTCGTCCTCCTCGCCTCTGCTGGTGTGGTTGCCTCTGAGGATGTTGTTGGGGCTGCGGCGGCTGCGGCTGCACTCTATCTGGGCAATTCAGAATTGCATGTCCGGTCCTCCGACAGTGATAGCAAACACTTTGACCAGCAAGACACTCTCCTCGGTGAGAACGTCCACATGTGTCGTAAGCTGGAATCTGTTGTTGAGTGGTTGGACCTGGTTGTCTTTGTCTGTTCCTCCGGTCATTCTATTGGCCTCTCCACTTCCTCTTGTTCTTGTTCTTCGCATGCTGGATAGGTGTTGCCTGTGCGACTGGTAATGCTAGAGGCTGAACAACCGGCTGAATGATAGGCAAACTCTGAACTCGACCGGCCTCCTGGCATCTATCTCCTGGGCGCGGGCAACTGTGTCAGCATAAGATAGGGTAACACGTCCGGCTAGGTTGTGGCGGATCTCTGCGCGGAGCCCCTCACGAAAACGACTCGAACTCTTCTCCTCTGTATCTCCCATGTAGGTAAAGAAGAATCCCGGGCAAGTGAACTCGCCCTCGTACTCATCGACCGTCTGGGTACCCTACTGTAACGCCAAGAACTGGCGCTTCACCTCTGCCCGGTAGTAAGCCGGGTAGTACTTCTCTCGCAGTAGCTCTTTAAACTGATCCTAGGCAAGATTCTCCTTCTCTCCAGGGTGCATACCCAGTAAGCATTCCACCATAGACAGACATCTCCCGTCATCTAAAATTGTGCAAAGAGGATGCGGTGTCGTTCAGAACAATCCATGACCTCAAAAATCATCTCAAGGCCTTGAATCCACTCATCCACCAGTCGAGGATCTCCCTGTCCTGAACTTCTCGGGGTGATAGTCGCGAAACTAGACGACCACATCCGACTAGTGCATCGCATGATGTTCTGGATCTCTACGTGGTAGCTGCTGAATAGTCAACGCACAACTTGATCAGAAAAGAAGTTGAAATAGTACAATTGAAAATGCGCTAAATCACAAATTTCTTGACACTTCGCTAAAATTTAACTCGATTAAACTAGAGTTCGAACTAAAATTTGTGCTTCTGATTGGAGCATCGATCTGACGCCCCTAAAGAAAATTGTATTACTGATCTGATCATCTAGACTGTTTTCTAAAGTTGAATATCTAACATCCTACTGAGCATCTTAGAAATTTTCTTATAAAAATAAATTTTCATCAACATTTACCTGGTAGTCGACGAGGCGTGAGCGTGGTGTGTGTTGTAGCACAAATTATTATTTTTACCGAGTACCGAATCGAAAAATTCGTTCCCCGGGTCGATCTCACGAGAAAGGCGGTTTGGAATTTAGCTTTGATATTGATAGCACATAAAAGCAAAATAAATCCTAAACATTCTAATGAAATATGGGAGAAATAATTACCAACTAATAAATAACATAAAAATAATAATCTACCTAAGAAATACGAACGAAACAATGAAAAAGAAGCTAGGGAGTCGGGGATAATTAATTCAAGTTCTACAAAACCGGGCAATCAATTGTTCGGTTCGAGATTGACACTCTCGCTTAGACATCTAGCGGTTCGCTCCCAATAACTCTTCGAAACAAGGGATTGAACATAGACGAATAAACTCGAGCATACGACACATGCCAATTATCCCAATCCCAATAACTTTTCGTAACAAGGGATGGGTCATCGACAAGCGCGTATTTCAACACAAAACTTATAGACTAATCAGTTACGACATCGTCTACCTCATGCAAGCCTAGGTCTACGACTTCTCCCCTTTCGGGTCTAAAAATTGCTAATTTAATTAGAAGAAGTTTAATCAACTAATCACATAGAATCGACAAACCCTAACTCGACAAATTAACATCCAATTGTCACCAATAACAAGATCGAAATGTCACTTTTCGATTATATCAATCTATCGAACAAGAATTCAACAATTCTGAATCAATTCAACCCACACAAGAACAAACAATTCAAGCCCGAAAGATACGAATTAAACAGGAACAATCATCCCCTATCCCTAGCTGATATAGCCCTATAAAGATATACCGATCCAAAGTCTCTCTCTCTCTTCGACTTGAAGGTTATCAACTCCTCCCGCGCATCGACTCGGGACGAGAAGATGCTTAAGTCGACTTCGTTCAAAGTCGATCCGGCCGTAAAGCAGAGTATCAGAAAAGTAGACCCTGTACAGGTCGATTCATAAAGGTCGACTTGAGTCGGTCGACCTTCTTAGAAGTCGACATATATTCGAGAATCTACAGGAACATGACCCCCGAACAGTAAGAACTTGAGTTGTTAAAGGGGTACTCGAGGTCGATGCCCCATACCTCGACACATAAAGCATGCAGTCGATTCCATACACTTGGCGCATTCATTAGAACCCCTTGTCCATCTATGGATAAGAAGGAATCTGGAGGATGACTCAGCAAGGAGGGGAGATGAATCGACCGGGGCAATTTGGACTTTTTAGGATCACCGACTTGGGGCATTTTGGGCATCTCAGGTAAATTCTCCCTCCTATATAAAGGAGAAGAGGTAGCCCTAAACCCTAACTCTCCCATTCATTCCATACTCTCTTCCATTATCGTTGCTGCTCTCATAGAGCAGCTCTCTCCATCTCCTTCACATACTAACTTGAGCGTCGTTGAGTTTCTTGCAGGTGTTCTCGCGGTTCAGCAACGGTTTGGAGGCCATCGAGTCAGATCTGAGCCCATTCTCATCGGTTCGTTCTAGATCTGAGCCCATTTTCATCAGTTCGCTCCAGATCTGGGAAGAGACCCATCACTAGCAATAAGAATTAGCTACGCAATATCAATTCAACACAATCAATCATCTCTCTCAATTCAATCATTTTCCATGAATTAAAAATAAAGAGAAGAACTTACAACAAAATCGCAATACGAGTGTTGAATCCAAAATTACAAAGCTTAATCCTTGAATTCCAAGAAAAAAAAGAAGAAAAATGGAAGAGAAGGATGAAAGAAGAAGGAAGAAAGGAGATGAAGAAGAGGGGAAGGAGAAGGGAGTTTTTGTTCGTGTTTTCTCGCCCTAGGTTCGTCCCTATGAGGGGGAGAATGCTCCCCAACAAATCTAAAATCTGCTATTATAATTGCTGAAAACGCGAGCTCCGCGGCCGCAACTTTTTCTTGCTGAAGTTGGGACTGACAGCTTTTTGTTCGCCGCGGCCCGCGGTGAAGAAAGGGTCGCGGCCGCGGCGATGAAATCTGCACTGCACGACTTTACGGTTTTTGCTCGTTCGAGTGCGTTTTAACTCGGAATTGAGTTCCGTTTTTTTTCTACGCGTCGCTAACGAACCCCTCTATCTAACTATGTAAATTCATCAAATATTTTCTTGAAACCCTGTCCTCTCGGAGCTTCCTACCTGCAAACCGAAAATAAAAACAAAACCAAAAACCACCGAAAAACAAACGAAACACACCAGGACACTCAAAATAACGCAAAACACGCAATAAACGACAAAACAACCTAAAAACCAACTAAATGACTCAAATTAGGGGAAAAAGAATGATAAAATAGCAAAGAAAAATACAACGAAAATGGGACAAACAGTGTGGTCAGACTTTTCTGCAACTTCCTGACTCATTGTAGTATTCAGATACACAAATTGTGCTCTGATACCAATTGTAACACCCAACTT